AACTGGCCCCACTCAGCAGGAAATGGCCAAAGGAAAAAACAAACCACCAAACAGAACAGGAAGTGTAATTTACAGGATTTCCAAAATAACCTGTGAAAGAAGTGCTCTGGAGCTGGCATTTCCATCCCCCTCCCCCAGGTTGGAACACAGTAAGGCAGGTACATTCAAGTACTGAATTTCCCAGAATTAACTGTCTGGTCCTGGGGACTGAAGCGATTGCATCCCCCTAACCAGATTTTCTCATTAGTAATCAGCAAAAGAAAAATTGAGCCAGCAAGGCTCCAAAAACAAAGCAGCTAGGCTCCCTCCCTTCCACAGAGTAGGCCCATCTGGAAACGAGCATGACGCCGGCCTGCGTGTTGGCACCCAGCTGAAACCTGACAGCTTAGCTTGGTGTGGATATCGGAGTCAGCAGGAAGAAAAGAGGTGATGTGGGTGAGGAGACATGAAAGTAACGCTTGATTTTTGGTGTCCAATTATGCATTTGGTACTGACTTTCAAAGCTCTGACTGTGGTCATCATGTGGCCACAAGCATCTCAGGGTGGTTCAGCTTCTGTGAGGCATTGGACACCGAAATGAAGGTTACCAACACTTCAGCCCTTGAGTGGTCTGTACTATAAAAGGAGTGGATGAAGACCCAGTGGTTATTCAAGTAGCTCTGCACAGTGGCTTCCCCAGCCCCATTGTGCTTGTGTCCAGCCCCCAGCCAGCCACATTTTCTTGGGAGCAGCCAGAGCTGAGTTCAAGGCATTGCATGGTGAAGGTTTCCATGACACGTCTTTGTAGGTAGCTCTTACCCCTAAGCCCTTTGTTCAATGTTATTAGTCATGGTAGATGGTCTGGAATTCCTAGAGGAGAAGAATAAGCCACACCTCCCAATGGGCATGTGACAAGGCAGTGCAGCCCTAGGTGTGGGGGCAGCAGCAGCAGGCTGCCTTTGCAGGTTGGCTTCTTGGGAAGTGGGCGGCCCAAGGACAGACAGGTGGAGAGGACCAGGCTGCTAAGCACTGAGCGCCTCGACATGAGACTGGGGGTGGGTACATCCTGCCCACTGGGGTACCTGTTCCACTGTGACAAACTGTCAGTGAGCAACTGGTTTTGTCCAAGGCATTTCTGCAGCAGAAAAATAACTGAAGCAAACCACCCAGCTGTTACACTGCTGGGATTCTGAGGCCACGAAGAGCGGAGAGGAGGGGTGCGCACGGGGAAGAGCGAGCCTCTCGATACCCATACCAGAGCAAAGGACTTCTACCCAGCCTCCTCCCAGCCTCTGCCTGGCTAGAAGTCCCAAACAGGTAGCGTTCAAAGAGCTTGTCCTGTCACTTGTCTGACACAGACGGGTGAAAACTCCTTCCAGGCCTTTGTCCCCTTCTTCCTCAACCCTCCGAGCCTATGGGCCTGCCTGCTATCAGGGGAGCAGTTCCCCAGAGATGCTGTCCTTTGCTACCAGGGAAGCCTGGTGCGGAGCCACAGCGACACCTAGTGGTAAAATATCACTAAGCACAGGTGACGTCCACATGTTCCATTGTATGTGACTAAATTCTAAGAAAAAATACTTAAGGATATTAAATTAGATACTGATTTTTTTCTATTGGGTACATCTCTGTAATATAAAAATACCAATATTTAGAGAGGGGGTTCATAAACTACTATACAATATAAGGACTGGGAAGACCTTTCTCCAAACTGTTCTGTTTACAATAATTTAGGAAAAGTGTTTAATAATCCAGCCTTAACCAAATAGCAACTTGTATTAACTGTACAACGACCTGGGGTCCTGTACATGATTCTAGTAAGTGGAATTTTCCTGAGCCATCGAGTTTTAAGTTAACACATCCAAAAAGAGGGGCACATGGGCGAGGAGCAAGGCGGGTTTGTGCTCTGTTAACTTGGACCTTGTGAGAGTGCAGTCTGCAACCTGGACGAGATACAACAGCAGATACAAAACGGTCCCCATTTTGTCCATGCCAGATTCTTAGGTTACACAGATTCCCCTTTACTCTGTAAATAAACATTAATTTTAACTAATTGTGTGCCTTACTGATCCAGTAAATAAAGTAACCATGTCTCAGGAGTCCCTAAGAAAATTGCTGGAAAAGCACTTTAAAATCACTGCAAATATTTTTTTTTTTTTGTATTTAAAAATTCTTAATCCTTTTGATGCTTATATACAAGTTATTTCTTGTGCTATAAATGTTGTCATCCACTGCTTGATTTCTTTTTTCCCTCTTGGTTTAAAAAAACAAAAACAAAAAACAAAACACCAAAAGCCAAGAGTGGTTCTATTTTCTAATGAAGACATTACTCACACTTACACCTCGAGTATTAATCAGAGTTAAAAATTCAAACAGTAAAGTGCACCCATTTATAGACATGATGTGATGGAAACCCACTAGTGCAAGAATTCTGGGCAAATGGAACGCACAGGTTGGTGAGACACCTGTAAGCTTAACTTCATCACTATTGTCTCTATTTTGGGGTGATGTGAATCGATGGAACTTACCAGTTTCAACTGAGAAATGTCCCCCACCGGAAGCCAGACATTGATTCAGCAAGTGTTGGTGGAAGACAGGGCATCTCCGAAAGACTGTACTGAGACCATCCAATGGCAGTGAAGGAGCAAAACGGGGCACAGGCAGTCTGCTGACAAGGAAAAACATGTCTCCTGCCCAAACAAGAGTTCGGATGGCATTTTTTGTCCAAAAAACAACTGGCACCCAGTAGTGATATTCACTGCCTCATAAAATAGCTAAAAAAGAATTGTATTTCGACTGTTGATATTTTAGGTGTTTTGCCCAATAGGGCACAGACCCTAAGTCTCCTGTTTGTTCTGGAAAATCAAAAGAGAGACCCCTGGGGAGAAGCGGCATCAGTGTTGTACTTGCAAAACTGCAGAACCTGCCCACCTGCCTGGACTAGTGAATGCAGGCATGTGTGTGGTGTCCCAAATAAGCGGGGGCACTTTTCTAAGAGATACTGAGCGATTCTTGAAAATATAGCAGCTTGTCAATAAGAGAAGGCAGTTAAAAGGGTGAAGATGAAATGAGATCAACAAGGCTGAGCCCAAAGGAGAGCTGAACGGCCGTTGGAGCCTAGTTAGATGCTGATACCATAGCTGTACACTTATCTTTCAGAGAGTGGGGGGGGGCACAGGGAGGGAGGGAGGACGACAGACACCAATGCCCGCCCTCTGGGTCTGGGTCCCGTCAGCACAGCTGTCTGTTCCCAGCACAGAGAGACAAGTCCTGTTCTAGGCTTGGGGGTCGAAGGGTCCATCTATGGTTGAATCTCTATTAGAAATGTTCCTGATCTCAGCTTCATGCTCCCTAGGTCTTAGGATCCTTTCAAACAGGTCTGGTCTATCTGGTCACACTTGGGCATTTATTCAGCAAGCTGCCCTTTCTGTAGCCCTTGATTATTAACAACAGAATGATCCTAGTAACAGAGAACTGCTTTTCTTCTGTTTGGTTTTAGTTATTTCATTTGTTTGGTAGGTAGTTTAGCTTTAAGAGCGATGTGCACTCAGTACCAGGCCTGCGTGAGGCTTTGGTTTTAGCATTCTTGCTCTTCACCTAATGCTGGCCTCTGATATTCAAAGGTCAGATCAGCAAATGACCCCAAGATGGAGGAAAGGTGTAGAGAGTGACTGGACCAGAAAACCTGTCTATCTCATTTGCCCTGATCCAGGGCTGGAAAACAGGGCCGAAAATGGTCTTGCTTCACCCTGAAACACTCCTTGCTATGTCTGGTATTCAAATATCACCCCTGAACAAACACTCCTGGAAAAAAAAAAAAAAAAGAAAGAAAAAGAAACAATTCTAATAATAATAGACAGTGAAACTATAGATATCTAATGGAATTAGACAACATCTGGAATGGAACGCAACAACCCTGGCTGGAAACTCCGGGAATCAGTCTTACATTTCCAAGAGAATCCAATCTGCTTCCCAAAGGAACCAATTTCTTTACTACAGCATATGGGTTTAAAAGAAAGAGGGCCAGCAGAAGAAACCTGGCTCTGGCTGAAGATCCAACTAAAGAGATGACTGCACTCAACTGGGAAAAATTTGCTTTTTGTAGAATGTGATGCTCAATGATGTGTTACGATCTAAAAGCAGATTTTTCCAAAATAAAGATTTTCTACAGCCTTTCACCGAGAATCCAGAACTATTTTTCTTCTATGTATTTATTTATCCCTCCCCCTAGCCTGGGAAAATTAGTAACTTTTAGTGGTTAATTATTGGCTAAAAACCTAGATAATAATTCCCAGTGAATTCTTTGTAAAAACCCAGGATTCTCATCCCATTTCTTGGCTGACTGAAATTATTTAAAGGGCTAGTGAGCTGTTTTCAATGGAATGCTATTTCAAACAATGATACTGGTTTTCTCTTCTGACTTAATAGTTATTTCTTCTCTTTCCTCTATCTTTTTACCCTCTAGGAAGACCAGAAATAATCGACATGAACACTCTAGACTCGATGGCTGTAGGCGCTGGCAGTCTTGAGGAGACCACTGGCACGACAACGTACCGGGGCTGGCTACCTAGACAACACTGGATAAGAGGGCAAAGGCAAAGGGGCATCGCACGCTTTCTAAAATTCCTAGAACAAAACAAACGACATCTTTTTTTTTTTTTTTTTCAAGGAGAAAGACGTTTACACAACAAGAACATCAGTGAAAGCGATTGTCTCCTGGAAAAAGCTGACCAGTGTGTGTGATCTCCCTGGGTTACAGCACACTGAACGGAAATCTCCTCACTGGCATCTGAAGAGCGGGAGAGAGCATGTGGCTGGGCACAGACAAGAGGAACTGCGGTCCTGGCTCCCCGGAGGCCAGCTTCCCAGTCGGCTGCATGCAAAGGATTTCGGCATGTGGGCTGCCACCTCTGAACACCACACAGAAACTACATGAGAAATTAAGCCAGAGAACTACCTCGAATGTGGAAACCAAGCTTGAAAATGTGCAGTGAAAACATGGATCTCACTCCAACAAATGTCTTTTAAACATTAGACTCCACAAATGGTCTCTTTGGTTTGATAGGAGATGTCTGCCCTTGTCGAGAGTCCCGGGACAACTGCCTGTACAGGTTGTCCTGGTATGCCTGAGCCACAGGGAGGGTCCGAGCCACCTTCACATCGGGGTATGAGGAGGCCTGGCTGACTCTCTCCAAGAGGTCTCCCCGGGATCCGTTAGCCAGCATCCCATGGGGACTGTAATAATCGTCCTCCAGCAAATGGCCATTCTGTGCATTGTTGGTTTTGTTATAAAAGGCAATGTTGCTGATGGATGATGGTGGACTAAAGGACTCAGGCTGAGGCAGGTTGCCTGGAGATGTGGGACTGATAACAGTATCCACTGATGATACTGCCCAGGTCCGATTCTGCTGGTGAAGGTGGGGGTACTGTTGAGTCCGGGCTGTTTTATCTATGATCCCCATGAATGGTGTGGTCCTGGATCGCGTGGGCTCACTGGGGTAACCTCCCTGTGTGGGAGATACTGGTGATAACTCATCACATGGCCTATCATAGGCAGGTTTCAGTGGGATCTCCATTTGCTGGATCGAGGAAGATGGCCGGAAGGTAGGAGTTAGGTTGCAGGTGGATGAAATACTATTGCTAGATGGAGAGAAGCGAAGGCCTACACTTTGGGAGTGGAGCAGTGGCCTGGGAGTTGGGGGGTGGGGTTTGATTTCATTGGGGTTGACGCTAATAGGTCTTCTGATTAAATGTGACACGTCAGGGGAACCTAGTTGGCTGGAGGAACGTTCCAGATCTAGTTTTGAGTGACAGACTGGGTAATAGGATGCTGATTGGCTACGCCCAATCTGTGGTGTCTGGCTATATCTCATGCCGCCTCGATATGCTGAGGAAGGTCGCTGTGGAAGATCTTCTTTGGTCAACCCTCCATGCTGACAGATGGCACCCGCACTCAGGCTGGCTTGGACATGTTGCACAGGTCTTCCATCACCTACGATTCCCCCCATTGACCCCTGATAAACTAACCGGCTCTGACTTACTCCTATGTCTCCTTGTGAAGACTGGTATTTACTAGCCATGGAATGGGCTACTTGGCCATAGGCTCCTGTGGGGATGACAGTGCTCGAATGAACTGCTGAGCTAGGCTGGTTGCTTCTTACAATCTGGGCCTTAGCAGGCTGTAGCCTGAGCCCTTGCTGGGGAACTACCACAGGAAGCTGAGGCATCTGGTAGGGTCGCTGGGCCATTTTGGATAATGGAGATTTTGGTCTGCCAGGAAGCTGACTAACACTTGTTTCTTGCTGATATCGCACAGGTGAACCAGACTGGGACCTATAGACACTCATGCTTTCAGCTGGAGGGCTGGCTCGATACTGAGGGCCTCTACGGAGAGGAGAAGGTGGAGGGCTTGGGTATTCTTTGCCCTGCCCTCCCACAGGAGGGGGGCTAAAACGGTAAGTTCCACCCTGATGAGCGGGGGAAGTATGTGGCGGACTAGGCCTGTAATGAGAGTTCTGGTGGGTTGGAGAAAGAGCAGGTGAGGTGGACTGATAGCCCTGTCTAGTGGGAGAACCTACAGAGCTGTTGGACCGGAAGTCAAAGACCTGATGAGAGCCAAGAGGTGAGCTTGAGATGTAGGTGGACTCCCGATGGGCCGGAGAGGAGGGCGGGCTCTGGATGATTGGGAGTCCCTGACTGGGCCGAGCCTCCGTCTGGAGGCCAATGGACACATTTTCAACATCCTGCTCCAGGTACTCCTCCTCAAATATGTCTTGTACAGAGTAGATATCTTCATGCTGTGGTTCAGGCTCTGTTTCTTCTGGTAATTGCTGCTGGGGCTGGGGCTGGGGCTGGGGCTGTGGCTGCGGCTGCTGCATCTGTCTACACTCCTCCTCCACTCTCATCAGAAGTCTCTGGATCTCACGGTTGTTTGGACACAGCTTGATGGCCTCGTTCAGGTCCTCTAAGGCTGCTGCAAACTGCCTGCTTGACAAAATGCAAACACAGGAACTGGAGTTATTCTGAATCAACAGGAATCACCAAGAACCGAGAACATGGTCACTATTTCAGACAACTATGGTGGCATCTGTGGGGGTCTGGGGGTTTGGTTTAGTTTGATTTGTAAGGAACAGAACAGGTAGGGTGTCATTCTAGAAGAGTCCGGAATGATTCCCTAGCCCGTTCAGCCTCTGTCTTCCTTCTGGCCTCTCTGGCTTTAGTGGAGAAATATCCTAATTGTGTAGTCCAGCCAGGCCCTTCAGGAAGATTCTCTTAGTGCTGAAATGCACACCAGGCAATATGGAGGCTGGGTGGGGTTGTCATTTACAGGGTCACTGTCAAGTAGCTTAGGAACAAAAGAGTAATAACTACAGTATTTAAAAATCTTGCTGATCCAGCAGAAATTTTCCTTTATAGTCTCAATATTTTGGCTCCAAATTTTACGCCTGTTCCATCCTAACTACAAACCCTGTCCTCTGTTCTCTCTACCTCTCACCCCCATGGCACTGGTGCTTTCCCACTCTGCTGCATCAAAGCTGGGCGAGTATTAGGCTTGCTGACTGAGCAACTCAGATCTGGAGCTGAGCCGACCCCAAGAAGATTCTAATTTCCAAATGAACCGTCAGTGATATTCCCATCCTCTCCATAAATACTGCTAGGAAAGGGGGCGGCTGACCTTGTGGGAGGAATAACCCAGAGAAAAGAGAGCATGATACTCAAGGTTCTGTAATGATCTGTTGCCCACCCAGCAGAGACTAGTTTGTCCCGCCCAGGAGAGACTAGTATCGCTGCCACCATCTCTCTAGACTCTACTTGGGTTTGATTTTCAGGACCAAATCGCCCCCAGTCACAGACGTGAGCCTGAAGCAGTTATTTCCCATGAAAGGTTTGGGAGAAAGTTGGGGGCACTGGGCAGGAACCATCAATGATAGTGACAAGTTATCCAGGGTAAGAGATTCTGGGTCCGACAATCATTGACTTAGGTCTTTTGGGAGCCTTTCCTGCCCAGTGGCCGAATTGCACAGATGGGCACGAGGAATGGTATTTCTCTGGGGCCTTCTCAATGCTGGCAGCAAGGACCTCCTATCCCCATGTGTGTATGCTGTGGTGGTGGTGGGGGGTTAGGTGAGAAGGAGGTTTGATGCCACCAGACTTGAGGAGAGCCCCAGAAGGAAGACTACATCGTCCTGGGATTCCCTAAATGCCTGTAGGAAAAAAGAGGAGGCTGTAATGTAAGTGACCCATCCTACTTTTCCCTCTGAATGGAGTGGCATGATATTTTGCTTAAATGGTATCTCTTTATGACATCTGCTTTGGGGGTTGAAAAGTGATTGAGATATGGCAGAGGCTTCTTAGAAGAAGGTGCCATCCTCTAAGAGTGAAAACACATTTTTCTCCCGCAGTAAAATGCTACAGCTGTCCACAGCCCGGAGGGTCTGTCCATCTTCAACTAAGTACTGTGCTCTGTGGGCCATCCCCAAAATGTGGCCCTACGAGTCCTCAGGGACAGAGCTATTGGGCGCCTCTGCCCTTGGGAGGCCAACTTTACCTCGGCCCGTTTTAGAAAAGAGGCTTCTTGCTCTCCGCCCTCTCTGTCCTCTCACCTGCTGCTGCGTTTTGCCCTTGCTCTTGCATAGTAAGCTTCGTAAGATTTCGGTTTCAGCTCCAGGGCCTTAGTAGCGAATTCCTCCGCCATTCCAAAATCCTGTCATTACAATAGGTTTGCAAATGAGTCATTCGAGAGAGATGAAAAATAGACAACTTGGGAATCAAACAAATACTCTGTACATTTCTTTGACATTTACAGACTGAACACTGGGATTCTGACACGCCTGACATGGCTTTAGCCGTGTGGCCCACAGACTGCTAGTTCCTTCTGCCTTTGCCATATGCGGCCCTGCAACCACTCACTGGAATGTGTTTATCCAAAAATACTACATATTTTTATTTGGCCCTCTTACTGCCTTTCTAACAAAGCTCTTTCTAGCCCAGATGCTAAATGTCAACCTTTCACAATTAAAGTTCCTGAAGTTGGAAACCTGAACTCATTACACATGCATGTCTGAGCTATACACTCGGATCTCCCCCTCATGAGGACCCTCATCCTACGTCCACAATTTCCTGCTGCATCTTCTTATAGCTGGGCTTTCTAGGGGTCAAATAAGAATACATCTGATGAAATTTAGAAGGACGGGGTCTGCAGAGAGGGGAACTGTGCTAACTATGAGGACTAGATGGGCTCGGGATACCAGCAGATGGGTTCAAATCTCTGGTCTGCTCTGTAACCCTCAGAGCATATGTATATTTTGTCTTTCTTATCTGCTTGACAGGTCGGGTTAAATGAGATAACTCATTTAAAAGCACTGGTCTCTGCTATACAGCAGATGCTCCCTAAATGGCGGCTTGTATTTCACAGATGTTTCTGGCCTCTTCCTCCTCTTAAGTGATTCCTCACTTAGGAAACATTTAAGATCAAAATAAAATGAGAGAAGAGCAACTAGGGTCCTGGCTGCGACTGCGGTCTGTGCTGCCCCATCCTCTTGATGGTTGAGCCACCTTGGAAGAACACAGCCTTGGAGCTCTCTGTCCTTGCTCTGAGAATCCCCGGCAACAATAACCAGGGGAACAGAATCGACCAAGCAGGGTCCATGTTTTTAAAAGACCCTTACATACTAAGCTAAAGGGGCGAGTCTGTCCTCTCTTTGGGCTGAAGCTGCGACAGCATGGTAGGTTCTGCTTCACTCGTGCCCCTTGATGGGGGAACACAAGGTCGCAGGCAGAACTAAGGCCTCAGGCACACGTAACACTTTTTTTTTTTTTAATTAATGGGCAATTTTCTACAGAAGCAGCCAGACTTCTGGTGATAATCAGTGTACTGGTCCATGGGAAGTGACTATCACCTGTTTCTGAACATACGTGGAACTAGAGAGAAAGCATTCCATTTGTATAGGGGTCATTGTCTATCCCCACTCTTGTTTCCTACTCTTTGCCTCTTGTTTTTTCTTCTGGAACATTCATTATTTCTGGGAAGGTGAGAGTATTTTTAAGAAGTAGATAATCTGTGATACTGCCTCAGAAACCCAAGCAAGGGTGTCTATGAGTGGAGTCCGACTTGACGGCACATAACAACAACAGATTACCTGTAGGGAACAAAGACGCCAGCCAGGAGGGGGACAGCAGCCTCTGGGCTTTGTCTCATTCTCACCAGCTGCTCAGTTCCTTCTGTTTCACAGGAGAAACCATAAGCCTAAGACCCTCCCCTGACTCTGACTCTTAGGGCCACAGCTGTGTCCTTGAGACAGCCAAGTGTGTATCAGGGCTCTTTTCATTGCCAGGTTTTAGATGGATGATATGAGGTCATATATGCAAATAATCTTTTTGGAACTGTTAGCAGGTCTCTTGCCATTGAGGTGGAAATCTTGGTTCTATATAGCTGAGTTCTTTATTGATGAACATTCTTGTTTGCCTTGGATCATTTCTATCTCCTGAGGACACCTCAGGCTGGTGGGTGTCAAAAGATTTGACATGATCTTGGCTAGGCTCTATATCTGAGTGCAGTGTCTGCATGTCAAGGGAGCAGTAGCTGAGGGCATCAGAGACTGCATCTACAAGGCAGGCAAGAAGGACCAAGGACCACTTGGGAGAAAATAAGCGCCCAAGAAGAGTTCTAAGATACCCTTCAGAACAAGAAGGGACATGGAATACTAGAATAAAAAGATAGAGAAAGATGTGAAAAGTTCAAGATTCGCCTTAGATATTAAACCCTGAAGCCCAAAGGCCTGAGTCCTCTTTCTAGCCCTTTCTTAAATGACTAAGGAGACTACTGGAAGTGAAGGGCATGGTTAATATGTATATCTAATTGAAGGTGGAATTTTTGTGACCACTGCTCTCACATTTCCCCAAAGACCAGAAAACTGACTTGGGGGTATGCTGCTATTCCGATCACTTTCAGTGGGAATTATGAAAATTCAGAAAGCTATGAAGTACTCCCAGCATTAACTTTTTAAAAATATTTTGAAATAAAGATTGTATTTAAACTTGATTTCTTTCAAATTGCAAATGTCAGTGCTCTGTGAAGGACAACCAAGTTCCAAATGGGGCAGAAGAGGATTCAGGGGCCTGGTAAAAACTAGTGAGTGACATGGGCTGTCAACTTCCAGGACTGCAGAGAAGAGCTGGGATGAGAGGGACTTACGTTCATTTTCCTGCGACATCGAGAGAGGTTGAGGAGGAGAGACACCTTTAGTTCCCGGAAGGTTTTCAAGTCCTCACCAAACCCTTCTCTAGGGAATTTCTTCAAAGCGTACTGGTAGCGCTGGGCAGCTTCCTTTACTTTACCTTTCTAATGGGAGTACAAGATGGCAAAACACACCATTGGTCTGCTGAGCAGCTGAGGAAGTTTGGTTCCCACTCCCCTCCTCTTCTCAGCAGTTGTTACTAAAGGTTAAGAAACCAAATAGTTTGCCACTGAGTTGATTCTGACTCATAGTGATCCTATACATCAGGAAAGAACTTCCCCATAGTGTTTCCAAGGCTGTAAATCTTACGGAAGCAGACTGCTACATCTTTCTCCTGTGGAGAGGCTGGTGGATTCAAACCTCTGATCTACTGGTTAGCAGCCAAGTGCTTAACCACTGTACCAGCAGAGCTCCTCACTAAGGGTCAGAGAGATAGCAGAGCATCCTCTCAAACATTAGCCTAGGGAGTAGCTCTGGCCCTGATGGTGAGAGAAGGGCTCAGATTTTTCTGCAGGAAATTCTTGTAGGGAAAGCAATGCTGAAGAGGATACCCAAGATATAAACCAGGAAAACAAAGCTTTGGCTAATGAGAAGTCCTAGGCCCCAGCTTCCCAACTGGATTCTAAAGGCACCTACCTTGCTCATTTAAAAGGAACAGTTTTTGAATGATTTCCCTGCAACACATCTCATTTCCTTGTCCCAAACATGCTAAAGTTATGACTGTCTTAATTTCTAGCTTGTCTGGAGAATTTTCTTTTCTTGTTTAATGTTCTACCTTGCCAGCCATGAGAAGAGCTCATTCCCTTCCTCAAAAAGGAAGAGTCTAGCAGCTCAGAGTCTGGAACAGTTTAGCTGCTGCTTCCCTAATCTAATGGGACAAAATGATATCAATTAGTTTTTCCTATTTTTGGAATAGGCATGGGGTGGGGGCGTAGTTGAGAAGTAAAGTTTGGAATTTGTGATTCCGTTAGACTTCATAGGAGGGATTTTCCAAGATGAAGCAAATCTGTGACTAACTTAGGGACCAAGCCCAGGAACCTTGGACTTCTCTTACTTTCTGTATCTGAAAATCTATAAGCTGAGGCCAAAAAGACACAGGAAGCATCTCTTGCTATTCTTTCACCAGACCTCCATCAGCCCCAGTCCTTCTGTATAGCTGCAATCCTACCAGGATTCTACTCTTTCATTTTCCCCTCAGTACGTTTCACTAAGGAGACATGTGGAGTCTCCCAAAGTAGAATTTTTGGTGGGAATAGCAGTGGTTCTGCCTATTCTCATTAGGAGACAGGATTCTTTGCCTTATAAAACATCAGTTATGTTAATAACCAGGGTTTAGATTCCTGAGACCAATGCCATTCTGAAATCCAGAATGGCACTGACACCTGGAGTGATGAGGCTGTTCTTCGAAGTCATACGGAATCATGGTTGGGTCAGGGCTCAAGTCTCCTGGAAAGCCCGAGTCCCAGATTCCCATGACTCCCACTAAGAGCATCTGACTGCTAACCATGAAGGCTGGAGGATCAAACCCCCAAGGTGCTCCATGGAAGGAAGATGGGGCAATCTACTTCTGTAAAGACTTACTGCCTCAGAAACCCAACGGGGGTTGCTATGAGTTGGAACTGACTTGATGGCAGTGAGCTCGGAGCACTCCAAGGGTCCTCAGGGAATAGAGCACTGCTCCTAGGACCTTGTACATTCCTGCCAACAGGGGGAGCAAGGCACTTAATAATTTCCCCATCTTTTAGGCCTGGGGATGTCTCAGGGACACTCACTGCCAAGAAGCTGGGTTGGATTTGTATTCACCTTCAGGAGAAGATCCAGCTAATTTTAACACAGTGAGATGATCTTGACATGGAATGTTCTTAAGGACTTCTCACAGGCCATGGGAGTTTCTTTGTATTAATTAGGGTATGTAGAGTCTTCAGCTTGAATTGATAGTATAAAAAGACTCCATACATTTTTTTTGTTGTTGTCATTCTGTGAGTGGCTTTAAGCAAATCTTGTAATTGCTATTTGCCTCGGTTTCCTTTCTTACGCACGGTTGCTGATAAGGTATTATCACTATAGAGTTTTTAATCCACATGTATATTAAGTATTAAAGCTAAGAACAATGTCTCTTTCCCACAGATGGGAAATATCTATAGCACATGATTTTTCTTTTATTCATCTCATGAGTTTCCATGTCCCACTTAGCAGATTCCATGTAAAATCTGCCATTAAACTGCCCATTAGTGACCAGGTAAAATTAGATGCTTAGTTTTATCAGCTGTAGACATATGTAGGATACTCTTGCTCTCTTGTTGGGAAGGAAAAAAGTCCTAGGATTCCCAGTTTATGAGCTTATTATACACTGACGAATGTATTCTCCCTTTGCCTCTAGAACCAAGGATGCAAACTGTCAAGACTTGGGTAGCGTCAGTGGCTGCTTTGAGGAAACCTTGTTCCTCCCTCCCCTCACCTTATAAAACATGTCCCCCTCTTCCATCAGCTTGCTCAACAGGATGATCATGATGTCTGGTTTGGAGGTGGCCATCGCCCATGTGGCTGGACCTGTAGTGTACAGGATGCATGATGGGTAAAAAACTCATACAATGTAAGGGTGGTAGGAAGCTAGGTGAAAAAAACATCCTGGGGGAATTTCTGCTGAGAGAACAACTTGTTCCACAATAGTTCTTCTTCATCTTTCAGACCTGGGAGTATCTTAGTGACTCCCACTGCCAAGAAGCTGCATTAGATTTGTATTCACCTTAAAATAAGAATACCTGAACTGTCTGAGCTTGTACCACGGGAGGGCAGCAAAGCCTGCGTGTTGCATACGGGCAGGCAATGGCTTAGCTTGGAGTTATTTTAATAAGGAAATCAGGAGAAGGAGTTTAATGTCACCAAAAGATTTTAAAAATCCAAAAAGGTAATTTATTTTAGAATCTTGGACTCAACTTCTCCTTCTCGGCTGTTTATCTTCATAATTTTGAAATATGTACTTTGCAGAAGGGAAACTGTTAAAGACTAAAGGCTCCCTTAATTTACAAATATCAAACAGGACTCCCTGGCATTGATTCTGAACCAGGAGCACAGTTCAAATACCAAATGGACATGAAACAAGTCAACATCATCGAAGGCTACTTTACCCACAAAGGGAAAGAAAAGGTTATGTTGATTAGTTTATAGATGCCTGAATTAGTCACCAACTAAGCTTTTTCAGGGTTAGTTATTAAAAGTTCAAGTTATTCTCTACAACAGTCATTAAAAAAAGTCTTCTTTTAAGGTGAAGTAAATTAAAAGGTTAGAGGTGTAGGGAACTCATGCAGGCTAAATCAAAGAGGAGAAGGCAAAGCTGACCAAGCCATCAGACCACGCCTGATGCTGACAGCGGTGAGATATACCTCGTGGGCGACTCGGTAACGTCTGACAACCTTCAAAGAAAGGAGAAAACAAAAAGTTGTAGGAGAGGGAAAAAAAAAATGGATGAAGGTGAAAAAAAAAGAAGGAAAAAGCAGCAGTGAGAGGCAGGCAGCAAAAAAGCCAGCATATCAGCCAACCCTTGTCTATGGGTCTGTGGGATCGGGGAGCAGCTGGGATAGCCGGAGTCTGAAGCACATACAGAGCAAGGGAAAGCAAGGGCTAAGGCAGCGCAGGGATCCAGGATGCTTCCAGGGCGGGGCGAGGGCGGAGGCATCAGCACCAAGATGTGCTTAAGGTCAGAGCAGCCTCCTCGCTATGGCTCCTAAGGGCATGGCAGATAACCTGGCGACTCTGGACACAGGGTTGCTGCAAATCATGGCTCAGACAGTGTTTTCTCTGTGCCAAGAGTCCTTCTATTCACTTGGATAGTAACTGGGCCAGGGCAGAGGGGAAACTATATACACTCTCACCAAATACCCAGGTCAGCCAGACCACTGGACCAGTCTGGCCTCTGGGCACAGATGGCCAGCACCTTTTTCCTTTCTCCTACCTATTTTGGCTCCTTTCTTCAGAAGGGTGACAACAACAGAAGTGTTCCGGCACCCTACTGCCCTATCCAGAGGGCGCATTCCGCTGTAGTCAACATGCTCGATCATGGCCCCGTGATCCACCAGGAACTGGACCTAGACATGAACCAAGCAGAGCAGTTAATACAGGTGCCACGGCTCCACTGAGGGCTTGGGCTGCCGTAGGCTCGCTCTTCATTCAACTGCTGGTCTGAACTAGAATGTGTACCCATGGTGTTTCAGGTTATAGCCATGTTCTGTCTTTAATGGTGTTTTGGATATCGCTGACCTCTCGCAGGTATAGGCTTGAGAACTTTATATCAGGATTCATCAAACATCACTCTATCCTTAACACCAGATAATATAATGGATGGGGAGCCCTCCCTATTCCTACTACCCTGAGGCTTGTTTAAAGGCACTCACCACCTCTGCATCACCATAGAAAGCAGCCAGATCCAGTGGGGTACGGCCATTTTTGTCAGCATGGTCTGTGGCAGCTCCATTATCGACTAGAGAGCGTACTACTGAGAGATGGCCCTTCAAACAAGCCCAGCTAAGGGCTGTCAGTCCTTCTTTGTCCATTAGAGCAATAGAGGCACCTGTAAGAGCAAATGATAACACAGGACTCAGGAAACATGAACATTCACAGCAGGAGGGAAAGCTAGTACTTAAGGTGTAGACAGCTGAAGAATGTCTTTTGTTTCTGGCCTATTACCATTTTAAGATTGATCCCAGTATGTGAATTATCTCAGTAAAGTTGTAGGGGGGAAAGAAAATGCTTGATCCTACAAGTAGCCAAGAATAGTGTCCAGATGCTTTACTGGGTACTCAAGGTTCTCTACACACTCTCCAAGTTGACTCTCTATCCTTAAGCTTTATATTGTCCTGTGAGAATTCTCTGCTTTGGCCATATGGACGTGCTGAGTGCCTCCAGAATTTGCCATAAATATTTCTCTATCCTTGCTTTTGGTTATGTCACTCCCATGTGTGGAACACCTACCTTTTCCTTCTCTAAGACTTGTCTCACTTCTTTCTACTCATCCTCTAGGAACTATCTCAAGTCCATTGTTATGTATCTTTTTTTTTTTTTTTTTAAATGTATACCACTTGCATGTAATAAATTTTCAGTGAATGTTTTGTGAACTGACTGGACATCTTCCATTTATAATGGCATGAACTCCTTGAGAGACTCTCATAAAACTGGAGCTCATACATGCTTACCATTGACGATACCACCAGGCTGCTTTCTCTTCCCTAAAAACAGGAGGGAATAGACTCACGGGAGGATACTGAGGCCAGGGCACAAAGGAAATTCAGAGCTTACTTAAGCTCGTCAGCCTTCTTCAATGACTCCATTTCTACTTTCTTACCACCTTTTATAGTCTGCGTCTGCTTTCCTTCAGCACTTCTGTTTTCATCTCTAAGGATCAAGGCATACTTAATATGCTGTTTTGGATTTATTTTAAAACTGAATAAACATTTGGTTCTTAGGCCTAGACTGTAAGCCCTTGGATGGCAAGGAACCTATCATTTCCTTGCTAGCTTTGAAGAATACCTAAAACAATTCTTTTCATACAGTTGGCACATCATAGATAGTAACTAAATTAGATATCAACTTACTGCATATGGGACACTCGCCAGGCTTCCTCCTTAGAGGGAGAGGATTCAGATGTCAGCGTAAGCTTAGATCTATCTGCCACATCCAGGATTAGGTTCTCCCTAGCAATAATCTGGCCTAAGTGTATCACCTCTGTATCCCTGTTGTTGTTGTTGTTGTGTGCCATCGAGTCCGACCCGACTCATAGTGACCCCTCCTGGGGTTTCCGAGGCAGTATCCCTAGAGGTTAGATAACCAAATTTTGTGGCTTTCCATAGTATGATAAAGGGCTGGGAGATACCATAACTCAAATTCTAATGAAAGCTATTTATTTACGTATGTATGTATGTATGTATGTATGTATGCACTGGATGCTTGAAACAAAAGGTTGATGGTTGGAGCCTACCAGCCACTCCATGAGAGAAAGATGAAGCAGTCTGCTTCCATAAAGATCATAGCCTTGGAAACTGTATGGGACAGTTCTACTCTGTCCTAGAGAGTCGCTGTGAGTTGGAATTGACTCAGTGGCAGTGGGTTTGGTTTTGTTGTCATTAAAACACTGACTCTTATATTAATTTGAATATGGGTCAGAATCCAAGAAGATTCCTCAGCTGTGAAATCTATAAATTCCCTGGACAGAGCCTCAAGAGGTAGAAAAAGCAAAGGATAAGGTTTTAGATATTTAATACAGATAAACTGATTCTCCAAACATAAGAAAAACTGGACTTTAAGAAATTAAAGAGATACATACGAAGTAAACCCATAACATGTTCAATATTCAAAAGTTCAAGTTGTAATGTTCTCCCTTTATTTTATCTTCCCCATACAGTTAATGCAGAATCCCATCCAGTTCTCTCAAACATCTACCTTAAAACTTCAGGATTATCTTCGATTCTTCTATTTGCCTTATTTCCCACATCTAATCAGTCTTTGTACAAAAAATAATCCTCACACTTGGCCTTTCTGTGCTGTTCTGACAGCTACTGCCCTTGCATCAGAGCCTTATTACTTCTCACCTGTTTTATTAAGTGGCTTCTGAAACCTATCTCCTGGCCCTTTATGATTTGTCCATCAACTCTTCTAGACACACTATTGCCAGGGTAATTTAATTTTTTTCAATCATGGCTCACATGTATTTATTTATTTCAATACTTTCAGTTGCTTTTTTTTTTATTGTGGCGAAATACATATAACAGAAAATATTTGCCATTTTAACCATGTTTATGTGTACACTTCAGTGACATTAATTACATTATGTTGTGTGACGATCACCATTACCTGTTTCCAAAGTTTTTCATCACCTTTAACAGCAACTCAATACTGCTTAAGCAGTAATTTCTCTTTCCCTCTCCCACTTGCCCCTAGTAACCACAAATAAACTGTCTCTATGCATTTGTCTATTCTAGTGGGATCATATAATATTTGTCCTTGGTGTGCGACTTATTTCACTCAACATATGTTTACCAGGTTCATGCATGTTGCAGCACTGATCAGAATACTTCATTCCATTTGATGGCTGAATAATATTCCATTGTGTGTACCTACCACATTTTGTTTATCCACTCATCTGCTGACGGACACTTGAGTTGTTTCCACCTTTTGGGGTTACTGTGAATAATGCCACAATGAACACTGGTGTACAAGCACCTGTTTTGAGTTTCTGCTTTCACGTCTTCTGGGTAAAACGCTACAAGTAGAATGGCTGGGTAATTCTATGTTTAACTTTTTGAGCAACCACTAAACTCAAACTAAATAGCAACTAAAAACATTGCAATCAGTAAAAATATATGTTAAGCTATTATTGGGAAAAAAAACCAACTAAAATTACACTGGCAGCAGTGTGAATACTAGAGTTGATAGAGGAATTACAAAGGGCTAGGAGATCAGTTGTTATGTGCCGTCGAGTTGGACCCGACTCTTAGTGACCCCTCCTTGGGTTTCCGAGGTAGTATCACTATGGAAGTAGATTGCCCCATCTCCCTTCTGAGAGGAGATCAGTTAGGAAGCCATTTAGTAGCATGGGTGAGAGGTGATGAGATTTGATACAAGAGTAACAGCTGTCAGAATAGTACAAAAAAGGCCAAAGGCAAGAAATATTTTTTATATAAAGACCACAGAAGATGTACCATTTTACAATACCATCAGCAATGGATGAAGCTTCCAATTTCTCCATATCCTCGCCAAAACTGTCGTTTTCAGTTTATCTAATAATAGTCATCCTAGTGGTCGTGGAGACAGCTCACTGTAGTTCTAATGTGCATTTCCCTGGTAACTGATAACATTGAGCATTTTTTCATATTTTTTCTTTGATGAAATGTTTGTTCAAGTCCTTGTTCATTTTTTTGATTGGGTTGTTTTTCTTTTTGCTACTGAGTTGTAGCTCTTTATATATTCCAGATACTGAGCCCTTATCAGATAAATGGTTCCCAAGTATTTTCTCCAGTTCTGTAGGTTGTCTCTTCACTTTTTCAATAGTTCTTTGATGCACAGAAGTTTTAATTTTGATAATGTGCAATGTGTCTATTTTGTCTGTTTTTGCTTGTACTTTTCGTGTCACATCTGAGAACCCACTGTTGATAATTAAGTGCTGAAGAATTACTCTGCTTTGTTCCAAGCGTTTTACGTAAGTCAGTTCTTCCATTTAGGTTGCCGATCCATTTTGAGTTAATTTTCATCATGGTGTGGGGAATGGATACGGTCATTCTTTTGCATGTAGAGATCCAGTTGTCCCAGCCCCATTTATTGAAGAGACTATTCTTTCTCCATTGAGTGGACAAGAACTCCTTGTTGAAAATCAGCTGACCACATGATTTGTTTATGGATTCTCAATTCTATTTTATTGCTTTATATGTCTGTCCTTATACTAGCACTGAACTGTGTGAAATCAGGAAGTGTGAGTCTTCCTACTTTATTCTTCTTTTCCAAGATTACTTTAGTTATTCAGGGTCCCTTGAAATTTCATATAAACATAAGGACTGGATTTTTAAAATATCTACAAAGAAGGCTGTTGCATTAAATTTATACATTGCTTTAGGTAGTATTAACATGTTAACAATATTAGGTCTTCCAATCCATGAACATGGAAAGTCTTTCCATTTATTTAGGTCTTTAGTAATGTTTAATAGTTTTTAGTATAAATCTTTCACCTCACTGGTTAAATTTTTCCCCAGATATTTTATTCTTTTAGATGGTATTGTAAATGGAATTGTTTTCTTAATTTCCTTTTCAGATTGCTCACTGCTGGTGTGTAAAAACTCAACTGATTTTTTGTCACTTTACTAAATTCATTTAGTAGCTCTAGTGGATTTTATGTGGATTCTTTGGAATTTCCTGTACATAGTATCATATCACCTGCAAAGATGGATACTTTTACTTCTTCCTTTCTGATTTGAATCCTTTTCTTGTCTAGAAAGAAAGGAAATTTGAAACCTTTCCTTGTGCCAGTTTTCATTAATTTTCTTCATTAGTTGAGAGAGATGTTTTTAGTATGTTTGCAACCATTTTTACAGGAGGGTTAGAACTGTTAAAGATAATAGGCTTAAACATAAGAGAAGTGTGACAGGCTCTTTTCTTCTAAATATAAAATAATGAAGTCAGAGTTATAATACAGCTATCATGCATAAAGGACAACGCAGGAAGAAACCTTTTTGTGCTATTGTTCACTGTTTATGATCTTTGATACAGTGAACAAGTTCAACAAAACTTGTTGAAGTTTTATTAACCTTCAAAACTCATTGGAACTTCCAGTACAAAGTTGAATAGTAGTGGTCAGAGTGGACATCCTTGATTTGTTCCAGATTTTACGGGGAAAACTTTCAGTCTTTCTCCATTGAGTGTGATGTTAGCTGTGGATTTTTCATTAAATATGCTTTATCAAATTGGGTAATTTCCCTTCTATTTCTAATTTTTTTTTTTTTT